CCTGCAGAACCATGAGCCACATAAACCTCTTTCCTTTATAAATCACCCAGCCTCAAGTATTCCTTTATAGCACCACAAATGGACTAAGACAACAGGCAAGCAGGAGAAGGTAACAGCAGCTGCATACTCGACTAGGCAGTGGGAAGATGAAGATGTTCCCTTGGTCTGTGGCTCCTATTTTGTCAATGAAAAGGGAGGCGAGGGGTGTGCACAGGGAGTGGGCAGAGAGCTCCCGAAAGGGGAGTGGGTACGAAATAGTTGCCTTGGGGAGTGAGAACACAAACTCGCCAGAGAAACCACACACTTAACACAGAACACTTCACAGAAGAGAAGCGGGAAACAGCAGTGAACATTTAAAGGAGGAAAAGCATCTTAAGTGTGGAGAGGTAAACTCAGATGGTTTAGGTTTTTGTTTTTTTTTTTTCTTAAATCTTGGTCATCTCTGCACAGTAGAGCCATGACAGAGCTATAGGATCACAGCAAAGTTTCCTACTGGCTGCCCTTTCTTGGTTCTTCCTTCCACCCTACTCAACTCTCAGAAAGGATGACATTAGTTCTATTTTTGATTAAAACGGCTCCCTCCACCCTCCTCTGTCCGAACTGCTTATCCAACCTTTAGCTCCGTCTCAATTTACAACCATGGTTTGCACATTCACATAAACTAGAGAAGAAGCAAATATATTAAAAAATTGCAGAGGTGGGTAGGAGTTACAAACCAGCTTACCTACACAAAGTGAGTAATATATACCACTTATTGTTTGATGTTAAAATTACATGAAAGACATATTCCTTGTTTAAACAAAAGGCCCAAACTACTCCTTCCTGCTTCTTAACAAACAAAAATTATTTTCTGACATTTTCTTTAAGCTTTTATGGGTAAACATTTTCCTTTCCACAGAACTATTTGTTCTCAACCACAGAGTTTCAATATTTGTTTTTGATCACGCAAGATGGTTAGGTTGGTTTTGTGTTGGCTGGGGGGAGGGAAGGCTAGAGAGAGAGAGAGAGTTAAAATTACCAGATCCCTTTTATCTTCCATCTTGTTACCTTTTCCATTTACCTTGTTACATTTTCCAACTCCTTCTTCCCATACTTTTTAATTATGAAATCTGGGAACCTCAAAGGTTCCCACTGCTCAAAGATCAGCCCTTTCATAGTCCACCATGACACACTGGAAATGTTGCAGGAAAACTACCTCCCAGTTGGGGCGCCTCTGGTAAACTCACCCACAGTAGCTGTGCCTGTGACATCTCCCAGCCGGCACATAAGCTAACTTCCTCAGCCCTGCCTGCCCGCCCTGCCCCCTCCTCTCTGTCACCCTGTCCAGCTCGTGTTGGCCCACAGTCCTCACACTTGCATCCCTCAAAATCCCCCTTTGCCTGCCTCCAAACACCCTTCAGGGCTCAGTGGATAAAACGACTCCAGAAACTTACTGGAATAAAGTGCAATAAAGCCACTGACCCACGGGGGCTGGGTCAGGCCACCAGGACAGACCTAGACCCCTGGCTTCTCATGCCCCACCCGTCCCAAAGGGGAAAAAGCACGATCTCTAGGCCCACCCAGCAGAAGTGTCCGGGTCCTGTGCAGGTCTGCTTGAAGAATGGCAAGCTCCACAGCAGAGGACAGAGAGGTGAGAAACTCACCCACCCCCATGCCCACGGCCCGGGGGTGGCCCTGCCTCTGCTGGCTCATTCAAACACTCCCCTTCCACAAATGCTCACGAGCTCCGCAACCCCGAGGAAGTCGCCGAACTACTTTGAGCCTCAGCTTCCTCACCCGTACAATGGGCTTAAGCCCGTTCCCTGGCTACGCGTCCCCTCCGACGCGGCTCACAGATGTGAGGAGTTGACGGTGTTATTCGCGCGGTGGCTCCCCGCCTCCCGGCGCCTCCGCTCGGAGACTCCGAGGAGTCTGAGGAGACTCTGAGGAGAAAGCAGTCCCGCTTTCAAATGACTTTATACACTCAGAAGCGTCAGTCACTTGGACGGAGTGCTTCAACTTCCCTCCCGAGCATCCCTCGCCGTGTGAAAGGCAGACGCCTCGCCCGCTCCCCGCGGAGCCCACCGCCCTCAGCCGCCCTCAGCCCCCTGGAAGCGGACTCCAAGTCCGCGGCGGCCGCGCTGGAGGCTCGTCATGATTCGGCGTGTCCCCTTTCCAGGAAAACTTCGATTTCCATTTTCCTTGTGACGAACCCAGCCACGGGGAACCGCGAACTGTTCCTCACTCGCACACAGGCCCGGAGTTGATCCCGCGGGGCGCGGGGGACCTCGGAACGGCCAGGCGCGGAGGCCGGCGACTCCGTCCCCGCCAGTGCCCGCGCCGGGCTGGCCGGCGGGAGGGAGCGGAGGGCCCGGGCTCCGGCGGGACAGCCGGGCGTGGGCGCTTCCCGGCGGGGGCGCGGGTCGGCGGCCGCAGCCCCGGAGCGGCGCCGCGGCCCGCAGACCCCCGGGGCGCGCCCACTCACCCCATCTCCGGCGCTGCTCCGGCGGCCGCTCCGACGGGGCCTGTCGCTCGCTCTCCGCCTGCTCGGCAGCCGCCGCCCGCGCGGCACATGCGGCGGCCCGATCGCGCCCGGCTCAGCCCCGGCGCCGCTCCATTGCGCGGGGCTGCGCGGCTGCCGCTGCCGCCGCCGCCACCAAGCGCGGGCTGCGGGGCTGGCCGCCGCGGGCGGAGGGCCGCGCTCGGGCGGTGTCCGCCCGCCTCCGCCCGCGCCCGCCCGCGCCTTACGTAACCTCGTGGCCCCCGGCCGCCGCGAGCCGACAGGGGGGCGCGGCGCGGTGTGCGGCCCCGGTGCCGCCGCGCGTGGCCGCTGCTGGCCCGGCTGCGCCTTTCTCCTCCTCGCTGGCCCCGCGTCCGCGCCCCCGCCCGCGGCCCGCCCGGGTCTGGCGCAGTGCCCCAGCATCCCGCCCGCCGCACTGGAAGTCCCTCTCGCAGCTGGTGGGGACTCTGAGGCTACCTCTGGTTTGCAGATGGGGGAACTGAGGCCCAAGGAGGGTAAGCGATTTGCCCAAGGTCATTCGCTCAGATTAGAGTCCAGGTCGCCAGAACCCAAGATGGGCATGGCCGTGCCCTTCCTCGAAGCCCACCTTCGTCTTCCTGCCCACTGCCAGGCGGGTGGCCTTAGGGTGATAGCCACCATGAAATGCTGGAAGCCAACGTTGCAGGAAGGATCCTACAACCTGCAGCAGGTGCTCTGGTCTCTTCCCTGGGTGAAGATGGGGCGGGCACTCCCAGCTGCAGGGTCACCAGTTTTAAGAAAGCTTTCTCAAACTTGGCTTTATTTTTAGAGCAAAGAAAATTGGGGTGGCAAAAGTGGAACTTGAAGAAAAGCTAGCTCTCTTAATCCCGTTTATAAACATCATGTCCTGCGTCCCTACCAAGGGCTGGCACTGAGACTTACCTTGGGGCTAAGCTAACCTTCATCCCCCTCTGGGCCTTCCACAGGATCATTCATCTTCTGCTGAGAACACATGGCACACATGTGCCTCTCAGGACAGTAAAAGGTCAAGGGACAAGCAGATAGAGCAGGGCCACCACTCCAGCCTTGCCCTTACCTCTAACCCCCCTGGTATCCTCACGGGGCACCGGCCCTCTCCCAATCTATGCTTCACACTGTGGTCAGTGATTTCTTGAACACATCTGATCGAGTAAAATTCTTCAGTGGCTTTCTTCCCACTGTCCTTGGGGTGAAGAGCAAAGAGCAAAGCTCGGAACATGCCACCAAGGCCCTGCCCTGCCAGGCCGCACTGCCCTCTGCAGCCTTCTCTCCTGCCGCTCTCCACCTTGCTGTCTGCGCGCCAGCTGGCCGTTCTCTCAGCCCCAGGACCTTTGTTCTTCTCCCAGTTTGGGAAGATTTTTCTCCTATCCTGTCTTGCCTCGTTAATTCCTATTCATTCTTCAGATTTCAGTTAAACTATTACTTCCTTTGGAAGCTTTACCTGATGCCCTAGATGAGATTGTGAGCTCTCACAGTTTTTCTTCAGTGCACTTATTGTTTGTATTGTATAGTTGTGAAATTATTGGTTTAGTATCTCTCAGACACATCTGCAAACTCCTATGAAGCCATGTCTAGAAAGACATGGTATGCCCAGTGCCTAGAACTGTGCCTGAGAATCCTTCATAAATACCTGTTGAATGCACGAATAAGTGAATAGGCCAGGCCATAGAAGCACAAAATTGGCCAGGGTCAGTGAGCACAAGAGAATGGGTTCAGAGCCAAGGCTGACAAGCACTTGACCCTAGGGGAAGTTTATCTATCACAGCTGAATTCCAAAAACCAGGGCTGATCTGGGGTACTTGAGGGAAGGTGTTCCTGGTGGGGCTCCAGGGGAGAAGTCAGCAGGAGGAGGAAAAAATAGCAGGAATCATCTCAGCTGGAGCAGGGCTACCAGAAGACAGCATCTTCATCTGGAGGTGCCAAGTAGTGGCCCAAGCCCTGAATGTGACTTTCCTTTCGCTCCACTGCTGGAAAGGGCACACCCACGCTACCTTGGCAAGATGCACAGAGGCTGAACAGGTGGGGTGGTGAATCACTTTGGCTGCTTCATGCAGTCAGCGATGATGCTGGAGTGGTGAGCCCACGGGAGGCTAAATACTCCGTGATTAAAGTGGCCGTCACTCTGGGACAAAGGCTTTCCCCTGGGGTGAGGAGAGAAAACAGTGGATTAGACAAGATTTGGAAATGGATGCCCTTCCTTTCCTGCAGCTTCTGGCCGCCACCCCCGTAGGGAGCGGCCTCCACTCCTCTCCCGTCACCCCTACTCCAGGCCCAGGTGGGGTCTGCTTCTCCGGAGCTTTCCAAGACGGCATTGGCACTGAGTCTGATCTTCTGGGGTCGTCCTTCCTGGCCGTATTTCATCATCTTGACTCTTCCCCACAGAGAGGCCACTTAATTTCCCCCTGAGGGTCCGTCCACAGAAGCCAGTACAGTCACCCTTCCTCTGTGGAAAATCTCCCGTCTCCATGGTTTCCATGGCCCCAGTAGTCAAGGGAGATGGTCGGTGAGGTCTGTTCTTTCCAGAAGCCTGAAGTGAAGGGGAGAGAGATTCTGTGCCGGCTGGAGATTGAGGTAAGACGAGAGGAGTCTCCGCAGGCCAAGAGACTTGGGAGTCCTTTTAGAGGGGGCAAGAGGAGCCCGTGGGGGAGGGACAGGGCTGAAGAGGTGAGAAAGAGGGGGTGGCGTCCAGGCTCAGGTGGAGGAGTGAGCCTTGGTGAGGAGAGGAGGTGCTTTCCTGGGAGAAGGCGAGAGAGGTTGAGGGAAGCCATGCCGGGTGGGTTGCTTTTGCTAAAGGACGTTGAGGACGTCTGCTGCGCATGCGTGAGGGAGAGGCGGCGGGGTGGAAGCCAGGTGTGGAACAACAGCACCGGAAAAGTGAAGGCTGGGAGGCCGGGCTCCACCAGCACAAGCTCGGCACTCGGAGTGCTTGCCATTCTGCGGGCACAGAGGCTTCCAGAATCTGAGGAGCATTCTGCAGTCTGACTGGGGCGCATCAGAGAACTGTGGTAACTCCTTGGAGAGCGTAGTAGCCCAGCCTGGGACACTAAGGGAACAGGAGCAGCTCCACGTGTGCCCTTCCTGTTTATGGCCCGTAATTCTCCCAGGCGTCCTGAGCAGAGGAACCCCGTGTGCCCTCTCTCTAACCGGGTAACTACATTCCACGGCTCTGGCTTCCTGCCTCGCACACGACAGCTTCCGGAGAAACGGCTGGTTCTAGGTCTGGGGCAGGGAAAATACAAGATGAAACTGGAGCATCCTGAGGTACCAGAAAGCAAGGAGGTGCTCAAAAGACTAAAGGTGGGGCGTGTTGAAGGGACACAGGAGTCAACGGAAGGAGCTTCCAGTGGCCAAAGCTGAAACAATTTGAGCAATAAAATAACGTTGTATAGGATTATAACCCAAAATATGAAATAAATATGCATGATTCCATGCTGATATAAATTCTTGAATACATAAATAAGGGGAGAAGAGCCAAATCTTGCTTATGGCAGATGCTCCCCCTCCAGTAGGTGGAGTTTAATACCCCACCCCACGCCCACTTGAGAGTAGGCTGGTCTCAGTGTCTTAGTGATTGCTTCCAATGAACAGAGCATGATGAAAAGGGAAAAATAGTAACTTTACAGTGGAAAAGCCTGGAGGACACTACCTCAATGATCAAGGTCGGTGTCACCAGTGATGTCACGTGGCCACCACGTATCCCTCGAATGGGATGTGATGAGAAGGGCACTTCACCTGTGTGACATTTTTTCCCAAGACCCGTAAGCTCAGTCTAATGAGAAACACATCAGGCAAACCCACAATGAGAGCCATTCTAAAAAATACCTGACCACTACGGCTCAAAACTGTTGAGGTCTTCAAAAACAAGAAAAGAGAAAGAAATTGCTTAAAGCCCAGGGGAGATTAAGGAGACATGACAACTAAATGCAATGTGGGATCCTAGATTAGATGCTGGGACAGGAAGAAGACAATCTAGTGAAATCCACGTAAAGTCTGGAGTTTGGTTAATAGTAAGGTCCCTGTGCTGGTTCCTTAGTTATGACAGAGGGTCCATAGTAATGTAAGATGTTGGTGGGAACTGGGTGAGGGAGGGTATAAGAGAACTCTCTGTATTATCTTTGCAACTTTTCTCAAAAGCTTAAAGTAGTCCAAAATAAAAAGTTTATTAAAAAAGAAAGTAGTCTTGGAGTCTCCTATATTCCAAATCCTCTCTGCAATATAGTCATCGGCAATATTAGGAAGCTGAGCATATAGAATGCTAAACAAGTAATTTATCAGGTGATACCTGAGGACTTGAAAGTGTTTGGATAAAAACTATAAAGGTAGGCCATTGAAATCAGTGTTTTTCTTTAACTGCAAACCACAAAAAGAAATATATTTTATGCTGCAACTAGTACATACTTCAACACATATTCTATCATTACATCTATATAAAATGGAAACAAAATTTACACAAAACACTTCTTGTCTTCTCACCTGCAATGCATTCACATGACATTCCCTTCCCCTTCCCTTTTTTTTTTTTTTTTTTTTTTTTTTTTTTTTTTTTTTTGAGGCAGGGTCTTGCTCTATCTCCCAGGCTAGAGTGTAGTTTCATCAACATAGCTCACTGCAACCTCAAACTCCTGGGCTCAAGTGATCCTCCTGCCTTAGCTTCCCAAGTACCTGGTACTATAGGTACACACCACCACGCCCAGCTAATTTTTCTATTTCTAGTAGAGACGGGGTCTTGGTCTTGCTCAGGCTGGACTCAAACTCCTGGCCTCAAGTGATCCTCCCACCTCAGCTTCCCAAGTAGCTGGTACTATAGGTACACACCACCACGCCCAGCTAATTTTTCTATTTTTAGTAGAGACGGGGTCTTGGTCTTGCTCCAGCTGGACTCAAACTCCTGGCCTCAAGTGATCCTCCCACCTCAGCCTCCCAAAGTGCTGGGATTATAGGTATGAGCCACCGCACCTGGCCCATTTGTTTAATTTTAACTAAGCACCTATTCTGAGTCCGTCTGTGTCCTCAATAAGCAAAATATAATGTAACCAAGGTATGAATAAAGTACCAGGAAATAAGGACTCTGCCTACAGGTTTCAAAAAGGGAACGTGTGAGCTGAGTCCTATGGAATATGCAGAGGATATGGAAGAGCATTTCCAGCAAAGAGACCAGCACATGCTGAGGCACAGGGGCATTAAAAGGCATGACTTGTACAGGGAATAACAGGGATGTTCATGTGATTGGCTCGATAGTGTGTGGCGAGAAGTGGCTGGGGACGAAAGGTAAATTGGGGCCACACTGTGAAAGACCTTGGGGTCATGTTAAGGAGTTTGGACCTGATCCTGAGGGCCACAGGGAGCTAGTACAGGTTTTAAAGTAGGGTTTGTGTCTTAGCTCCTCTGGCAGCAGTGGGGAGAATGTTCTGAAACATTCTGGACAGAGACTGGAGGCAGGATAAGCTTGTTAGGAGGATCTAAGCGAGACATCAAGACCAGGAAGGGAGAGGATGCAGCTGCTCTCAACCAGCCCCCAGTAAGGGTGGGAGCCTGAGTAGTAGGGAAGAACCAGGAGCCTCCACATGCAGGGGCCTGGGAAGCCGCAGCTGCTGAGTGGGGTCAGTCACCAAACAATCTAACAACCTTGAAGAGAGGACTTTGGACCTCACTGGCTGCCTCCCAGCGGAATTCAACTCTAAGAGGCAAAAATAGAAATGAGCACAGGAGTAGCAAAGCCAACTGTAAGTGCCCCCAGGGGCATCCAGTTGTGCTGCCCAATGCCCAGGGACATCACGCTGATTGTCACCTTTACCGCTCCTTTTGGAGGTATCAACAGGTGAGTCTCCTCCACTAGGCTATGGTCTTCAAGGGAAGGGTCTTCCCTGGGTTTTTCTTGTTCTGTTTGGACTCCATGCTCAGATAAGCTCTCTTCTGGGCTCTAGCCTTACTTTAAGTCTAGCAAATTCGTAAACAGGTCAAACCAAAGTCTCAGAATTGAGTCTCACTGTGTCTGCCTGGCCTACCTTGGGGCAGAGGCCCATTCCTGGGCCAACACTGTGGCTGGGGGACTGGGATGTCCGGATTGGCTCCGTCTGGTCACGTGCAGCCCGGGATGAGGTATGGAGGCAGCTTCTAACTGAGGGTGCAGACTGGGTGTGAGCCTGGGAAAGACATCCACGGGAAAATCAAGTTACAAAATGCAGGGTGGTGGCCAAGACAACAGATGTCCCCTGTGAGCATGTAGTTATATCTGTTTCCCCTTTGCCAGGTCCAGAGTAGATGGATGAATTGTTGCATGAAAGACAGTTGAGGACATCACGGAGTCATTCCAGGTTAAGCTATTCCTGGAGGAGAACGTGAAAGGGCCAGTCGGGAGAGCTGGAGAGTGGGCCCAGTTCTGAGGCTCCAAGGCATGGAGAGTGGAAATACATGCTTTAAACCAGCCGTTCTCAGCCTTGGCTGCACATTCAAATCACCTGGGGAGCCTTGACACCATACCAATGCCAGGGGCCCGCCTCCAAAGAGAATGATTTAATTGGTCTGGGCGGTGCCCAGGCACCAGTATTATAATTCTCGAAACTCCCCAGATTCCAATGTGCAGCCAAAGTTGGGAACCACTGCCCTAACCCTCATAGCGTCCAGCCCAGAGAGAAGCAGACGTAGACCTAGGACCCCAGGAGTTTGGGAACTAGGGGGAACAACAAGGAACACACCCTAGCTCATTGGCTGGGCTTTCATAAGAGTTGGGGCTCTGGAGAAGAACTAAGAAATCCAAGGAACTTGTGAGGCCAAATGGTGCAGTACCTCCTGTGAGCCCAGGGCAGAAGGGATTAACTATAAGGTCTGCCAGCTCTCTCAGGGAGACTGGAGCTCCGTGGATTCTTTGCCTCAGCTTGGCAGCAGCAGAACAGAGAGGTGCCTGTTTGTGCATCTGGAACAGCTGGGATGGGTCAGGTTCAGACAGGAGCGGGTAGGCTCCGGAGCCACGCCTGCGGCAGACTCACCAGCGCTGGGGATGGGTAAGAAGGTGGTGGGGTCACAGGCAGCACTGAGGTTTCTAAATGGAGACACTGGCTGAGGGCAATACTGCTTGAGGATATGTGGACTCCAGGAGGGAGAGGAGCAGCGGCAAGTCAGGGAGCAAGAGAAGGACAATTTTGGACATACTGAGATGCAGGAATCTGAGGAGCAAATGAGAGGAGATGTCCTGGAGCAGTTAGATACTACAGGTACTACACGGCTTGGAACAGACACTTGGGAGCCATCACCAAGTCCGTATCTGAACCCAGGAAGAGCCTGTTGGACGAACAGAGGTGGGGCTGAGGAAAACATGAAGAAATCATCAGGGGAGGCCAGGGAGCCCGTGAGGATGAAAGAGTAGCTGTTAGTATCCAGGGCCCATTCTCTTCTAGGTGTGGTCAAACCCCTTCAGCTGGACCTAGCTGAATCAAGTATCAACTTCAAAATTGATGTATAACTCTTTGCCAGTAAACTAAGAGCAAATAAAAACACAAACAGGGCCAGGCCTGGTGGCTCATACCTGTAATCCAGCACTTTGGGAGGCCGAGGCAGAAGGATGGATTGAGGCCAGGAGTTCAAAACCAGCCTGGACAATACAGCAAGACCCCATCTCTAAAAACAATTTTTTTTTTAATGAGCCAGCCATGGTGGCATATACCTGTAGTCCCAACTACTTGGAAGGCTGAGGCAGGAAGGATCACTTGAGCCCAGGAGTTGGAGGTTACATCGAGCTATGATGATGCCACTGCACTGTAGCCTGGGCGACAGAGTGAGACCCTGTCTCAAACAAACAAACAGCAATTAATACAAAATAGAAACAAGTGTGTTTCCAATTCATTTCAACGTGGCAAATATTTACTGAACGCCTACTACGCGCCAGACTAGCCGCAGATGGCGCGGCTGGCATGGTCGGCTGAGCAGGCACACGGCCCCACTCCCACTCTCTTCCCCAGCCCCATCTGGGAGGCCTCAGTAGTCCCGGTTCCTAGAATCTTTGCTTCCAGTAAAGCTCAGCTGATCCACTAGTCGTTCTAAGTGAGGTCTCCCTGCAAATCTGGGGTTCTCCTGGCAAGTAATACCTTTCCCGGGAGCTCCCAGTTTCGTCTCAGCTGCCCAGTGGCTTTAGGCCTTGTCTGTTCCAGCTTGCCTGTGTGGCTCCCCTGAGACCTGAGTCGTGCCCAGGGCCCACCGCCAGCTTCTTCCCAGCTCCTGTGCAGGGCAAAGATGCATGATCTGACGACAGGCCCAGAAAGAGTGCACCCATGAGATGGCATTTCTAACCACCTCTCCAAATGCTTGCTCCTCAGAGGTCTCCAGGAGTTTCTGTCACTGCAGAGTTGGAACACTAAACTAGTCTTCAGAAAATCACTTTGAATCAAGACAATACCT